TCTGGTTTTAGTGACTGATGGGCCTTTACCCACGCATGACTGGAGAGTGGGTCTCTACAGAGCCCCTCTCCTGTTTTCTGCAATAAAATATTTACATTTATATATTGAAAAAAATTAAAATATATATTTATTGCAATATTTCTAAACCACTAGACGTGTCAATACGAAACTTGCAGTACCTTCGGCTGCATCAATCTGAAACATTTTATAGAAATAAAAATTGTGTAGCTACCATAGGTCGGCCGGAAATGACGTCAGAGTGATCAGTGAAGTCATATTCTGCCAATTTTGATGCAAGAAATTGAACTACAGCAATCGCTCTCGGTGACAGATAACCTGTAACAATATAAAAAATCAAGAGTCTGTAGCTTTTACTTGCCAATGCAGGGTGATCTCTTGACTCTTGAGCCTCATCCCTGGTTTGTCAGCAATCAAATCCTGCACATCTATTTGGCATCTTGAGAGATTGAGAGGCAAATTTCAATTTCAAAAGATACTAGTCTTTAAAGCTGAAACATATAAACAGTTAGTCAGATCAAAACAAGGCCTGTAGCATACAAGTGTAGGATACTGGATTTGCACACAGTACACACTACAAAATACACATAGGAAACAGTGAGATTACAGTCATGGAAAAGCATCAGGTTTTTAAATAATAGTTTACACAGACTTAAATACAAGAATTTAAATGAGCTTCAAATAAAATGAGAAGTGGAGTGAAGTACCTAACAAATAAGGGTATCCATAAATCTGGTGCCACCGTCAGCACATATAAGGTTGGTAGGTTGTCAACTGATGTTGTCACCTCAACATCAGCCGCATACATCATCAACACCCGGGCAGTAAACATTGACATTATAATCATATTGAAAAACATTGCCGCTGTTCTTAGCTCGATTCCAGTCAACCAGTCGTGAGTCGGGCAAGTCAGTTAGGTGCATGTGTGTGTGCGTGTGTGTATGTGTGTACGTGTGCGTGTGCGTGGTAGAGTAAACATGTGAAACAAAGGGTAGACATAAGTGAGTGAGTGTATAAATTTGTGAGTGAGTGAGTGTATAAATTTGTGAGTGAGTGAGTGAAAGAGTGAGTGTGTGAGTGAGTGAGGGGGTGAGTGAATGAGAGAGAAGTGTGCGTGTGTGTGTGTGTGTTATGACCTATGGTTTACGAGCGAGGGGCCATGAGCTTTTCATCATGTTTAATGTGGGCCTTAGGTCTCTAATTTTGATGGATTCAGTGATTTTTAGTTCAGCAGAATCCCGTCCCCAACCGATTATATCAATAGTAAAGGCGGAGTTGATTTCAGTGCTACTTGCGTTAAAGTGCGAATCAGCAATATGTTCACCTAGTGAGGTGTCCGGTTTTCTCAGGCGAGCGTCACTTAGGTGCTCGTTGAATCTTTCATAATAAACATCTAACTTATAAAAGTTGTCTTATTGTTGAGAAACCATGATGTTACAGGAATGAGGCAATTGAATTATGCATGATTGTGGAAAAGTTGGCAGTGAAGTAGTATCGAAAACAAACAAACTACCGTAAAGTGGGGCTATTTGAGACAGTGGGGTTATTTGAGACAGTATTTAAAATCGATATAAAATGAAGATCGTTTGATTTCTGTGTGATATATTTGCACAGGGAGGTTTGGAATCGAGCAGTAAATCACCTGAGCAAAAAATTAAGCATGAATCTTAAGTGGTTTTTATGTTATAGCAATTTTAAATACTGTCTCAAATAGCCCCACTGTCTCAAATAGCCCCACCTTACGGTATATTTCAACTCCGAGAAACGGTCTACTTGTGTTCTAATCCTAGCAATGACGCACGAAGAGCACTAAGTAAGTGCACTTAAAAATTACTAAAACTTTTCATAATACCCCGTCGGTGGTCCCATTGTAACTTGGTTTAGAACTATGACTCAAACTTATCTCAAAATATGCGGATAAGTTCTTGCAGAAATTACATACCTAATATGCATAAATATCTATAGTCGCGCTTATGCGTAGGTACTTCCACAGGCCACACATAGCGTATCCTCTTAGAGCTGGACTGCTCTCCATTATGAAACAGCTAATACAGACATTCATCCAAACTTTCTGGGATATTACTTGAGTCGGAAAAAGCGATTTACGAAACAACATATTACAGACAAAAAAAAAACGAAGCCAAATATTATTCATCGTGCATATAGGCAATAAGAAAGGGACTACACGTATTTCAATTTGAATGGCAACCGGAAGAATCAGCACGATTCCGATCAAAATATACACTAGTTTGAGTATATGATAATAGTGATTTCGCCTTGTTTTGAGGCAGCAAGATGCTTTATCATCCATCTGCTCACGTCTGTCGGACCATGATCATTTTAACGTCTCTCTCGAACGAGAGGCGACAAGGTGCAAATGGTCCGCCATTTTAGGATATATACCTACCATTTAGCCGAATTCGTTAGGTCAAAACCCAGCAAAAGCCCGAGGTCAAAGACAGCATTGTGTCCGTCCGGTTAGTGCTCACTGCTCACTGCTCAGCCCACGCCCCAGACTAGGCTTTGGAATGCTCCATGGCACGTAACAAACCTGCTTGATGGACATCCATCTGAGTGGTGAGGGCTGAGCGATTTCACCATCCTGACCCCATCATTCCGCCGCACGGAGTGCCGCAGTGACCGGGAACACTGCCCAAGGGTGGAACAAAGGTCGTCACCTGTGGCGCAGCCGTGCCGAAACGCCGGCTCGCCATCGATTTTCAGCTGTGTCCGTCGGAACGGTGACGTCATGACGCCACTGTGCCGACCCGACCGGGTCGCAGGTGGTCACCTTCAGAGGTAAACAGGCACAGATGTCGGGTCAGCGCGCCGGCTCAGACCAGGACACACCTGAGGGGTAATGGAGCCCCGGTGATGGTCTGACGCCCCAACTGCGCAGGAGAGAGACAGCTAATATCCATCCACCGGCCTTACCTTACGTAGTCAGAACGCTGGCGTAACGGTTTCGGGGACAACGACGCCATAACGGCTTCCATTCCTGGGGCGGGGAGCGGCCCGAATCAATACCTACTACCACCGTCAGGTGAGGTGAGCTTCTACCCTTCCACCACTCCCCTCAGCCATTCCGAAAGCAAATATAATTATAACCTGCCCATGCAAACCTCCTAACCCCCCATCCCCGAGACGGGGAGTGGGAGCCGCACTCTGTCGCGCAGGCTCGTATGTCCCGTCGCACACAGGGCCGACCGCCAGGTCTAGCACGACATGGGCAAAAAAATCGAACTTTGTGGATGTGCAATGAAACCTATACCAATTTGTTCAAAAATGATCATACTACACTGCTGTGGTCTTTGTTTTCCAACACAATTGCTATTTCATGGCGAAAACTCAGCTTAAACACGAACTTCGGAATCGTTTGGACCGAACTCGTCCCCCGCACTTTTCGACAACGTATCTTTGATCCACGAAAACAATCACAATTTGAGGAGGAATTCCACATTTATATACATCAAACGATAGCTCCGGGTCTGCAGAACACACATAACCACATCAAAATGGCGAACTCTTACTTGGTTATGATGTATTGGCACCGCAAAGATTTAAAGACGAAAATATAATTTCACATAATTGATGTCACACACAAATAGACTTTCAAAAAAAGTACCGCAGAGTACCGCTTCGAAAATCTCGCTACATGTCAATGATTCATTGCACTACAAGATCCAACAGTCATTTTTTGCGACTTTTTGCGACTTTGGATGAAGCAGCCAAACATCAACCCGCGCCGGACCGGTGCTCGGCGTCAAACGCGCCGGGCCGGGAGGTGTTGATTGAACACTCCCCTTCTAACTCGTCTCTTGGGCCACATAGCAACACGTAGTAAATGGCATTCGAAAGAGCGCCCGAAATTCCAGATGGAGTAATTAGTCATTTCTAGGTCAGGTCAAAGGTCACGTCACCAGAGGTCATCAAAGGTAAAATGTTGCATTTATCGACATTTATCGAAAACCGGCTCTTACCTCGGGGACCAATAGAGCTACATCGTCGCGGAAAAGTGCATTCAATTGCTCTTTTAGCGGTCTTCCTGAAATAAGCCCTCAGATTTGGCTTAACCCTCGCTCCTAGTGGTGTTTTTCCAGCCGCGAACGTATAGAAGGGGTCCGTTGGACCCCCCGCCGTTTCACTCCTGATCAAGCTAGAGCTTCGCGGAAAAGACGAGCGTGTTGCCCGTGACAAGAGGAAGCTGATGATACCCAATTGTAAGGTCCTAGGTCATCGGTTGACCTTCCAGGTCAGGTCAATGACCCAAAAGTCGGGAAAATCGGGACCTGTTAGAACGTCGTAAAGGGTGGCTGCTATGGGTTTTTTGGGTGCTGATCACGAATATAATATTATTTACGATCATAGATGATGTCTTCATACATTTAGGCCAGGTCGGGTCAGGTCAGGTCAGGTCAACTAGTAAGAGTTTTGCCGGGTATTTGCAGTAGGTGGCAACCACCTCTGACAGCTTTGTAACATGTTACGAAGGCACCAAAGCTGCATAGTAAATGTTCAATTGGTTGCTAGATTCGAATTCAGCTAAAAAAACTAGCCTAGAAACATGTAAAACTCGAAAAAGTGAACCAAGGTCAGCAAAGGTCAATGACCTTACCTGACCTTCTGGTGATCTTGACACCCACCCTAATGCATGGGAGCAACATAATATCCCATGTTTGAAAGCTTTAAACCAAGAAAAGACTGCAAACACGCGGCTAATGCGAGCCGACATACGCTGAATCGCGATTCCGGCCAAACATGGTTTCGAAAGAAGGTCACAGGTCAAAGATCATTAAGGTCAGGGAATTGAAATTTTCAGGTTAGCTGTAAAAGTAGTTATCGCGAGGGTACTGAAAGTTTCGTTGCGATCGGCCGTTTTTTACGCGAATTACTCGCGAAAAACCAAGGGTTCCGTTCGAAGATTCAGGCCCTGTCGCGCTAGAATGGCATATCGGCCCACTGTGCGTCGGGCGGGGCGGGGCGGGGCGGGCACCCTCGGCCGGCTGACGCCACCGCCGTCGCACCCGACGCACCGACGCTCGAGCGACCGGAGCGCGTCGCCGTGGCCGACGGCGCTATTCTGGTGTCCGGAGAGCCGGTCAGTGACAAGTGAGCCCCGGACGCGACAGCAGCTCGCAGAGAGGATCGCCACAGCTCGTCCGGTCACCGAGCCGGCAGAAACAGAGGCCAGAGGAGTGCAGTGTCGAGCCACTGCAGAGAGGTGGGTCTCCAACAATACCGAACACGGTCCTGGTTTTATTTTAGAGCTAGGCTATGTTTCAGACAAAAAATATGAGCCTGTGGTTGGTACGAGATCCAGTGTTGAAGCGCTGACTGATATAGGAGGTCGGGTATAAGAAGGATATGCGGTTGAACTGTAGAGAGCGGGGCCACTGCAGCTCCAGTATTGACCGGGTCGACCCCCTCGACTGGCCTCCAACCGGCGCAAACACACAGAGGCTGATAAAACGATCATGTTACGGCTGAACTATGGGCACAGTCACTAGCTAAAGAACACAAAAAGCATGTCACTTATGCCTTCTTAGGTAAGAAGGCTCCATAATAACATTTCGGTCACTGATTCATATTTGTTTTGCATGATGCAAGCATAACCATTTAAGACCCTATAATTCGTATCATGAGGCATGTGTTAATGAATAATGTAGCACACGGGTTGCCGCCATGCCGTAATGACACGCTTAAGAAACCATATGCCAGAAAAAAAACCATCAAACTGATTCCATTTCATTTTCATGTGGGAATAGTGCGAAGCTGCGACTATTGCTGGCTGCAGCTGATCCACGATACATTTGCACACTTTTTATTTCCCTTTAATAACATGGCATTAGGAGTTTGTCATATTTTTTTGCGTAACGTTACGTAGGCTAATAGGTATAATTGGAGGCTTATGATGTTACAAAAACGACGCGCACATTCTTTTGCACTTCCGGGCTCCGATCCGGACCGTGATGCAGCGACTCGTGTAAATCGATCCCCTCTCGTTCGATAACACTGTGGAGCACGTGCGAAACACTGCACCATGGCACTGACTCACACCAAGTGGGCCAGGGGGTAATCCGATGTGAACTATAGGCAGACGAGTGCGGAGATTACGAGTTGCCTGTCAGGAGCCAGGCTGAAGAAAGACACCATTGTTGGCTTGTTGAAAAAATCAAAAATGGTCTAGATGGGTTTGTATTTGATTACGGAGCGAGCGAAGCGAGCGGAGTCTCATACTGAATTAAGGGAAAATCCTGAGTATGAGCGGCCGGCCGGCCGGCCGTGGGGACGCTCTTCAAAAGCTAATATCTTAGGAACGGGACATCCGATTGACAAGCGGTCTTCTTTACTGAATGTCACTTGGACGTAAAAGTTCTGTGGTGTGATGGCCACCATGCGTTCTTGCCAACCACCGCACGTGGCGCGTGGTAAAGTTGGACATTTTTTAAGAACCCCCAAAATTGCAACCTCAATAACGGCACAACGGTTGGGGCGATTGAATTGAAACTTGGTACACAGTTAGGTCTCCATCAGATAATTCATCTGCATGTGTTAAGGTTGGGGTGCTACAGCACGTGCGCACGTGCAGGGGGCGCTCCCAGATCTCGAGAACGGCTGGGCCGATTGCGCTCAAATTTGGTACACGGTTGGGGACCAGTTAGTAGGGTGCCGTGCAAAAGTCAGTTTGGACCCCGCTTGCACGTGCGCACGTGCAGTGTGCCGCTTCCAGATCTCGAGAACGGCTAGGCCGATTGCGCTGAAATTTGGCACATCGCTAAAGACCGGTTAGTAGGGTGCAGTGCACAAGTTAGTTGGAGGTACCCCCTCGCAATTTCCCACGTGCAAGGCCCATCCTCTCGCTCGCTCCGTTGGTCGCCCAAAAGGCGTTTTACTGGTCCAATACCTGTTCAATACATTTTATGATATTTTCTAACTATACGTGACACAAAATTGTGAGCTTAGCAAAACCGCACATAATGCCTCTTATGATGCTTTCTTACGAAACATATACAGGCATATTACAAAATTGCTGCGCAAGCTAGTGCTTATATGCAATGCACTGAACACAAAGTCGACACATATGACTCTCGAGAGTCCAGTTGCACGCTGAGCTTATCAAAGCTGCTGTTCCATGCAAAATGTCTGCCAATGTCCGTCCCCTACAGTGTCAACAAACAGGACAGGGGCAGACTTCGGCTTCCACACGTGAGCCTGTAGAGATAACTTGTCTGCAGACTGCAACCGGGAAATCCCGCAAGTCTTTACCGTAAAGTTGCACCCGCGAGAGAAGCGGACGGAGAATGAGTTGTGAATTGAGGTCCGTGGCATGCAGTGCGGGCACAAAAAAAAAACGTTAATAGCGGGGACTCATTTCCAAAATAGAAAATGTTATTTCAGTCTGAAAACTGATTCCTGGATATCAGCATGATACATATTACATCGTTGTTTCATAGACACTAGACAGCATTTATTTAATTGCAATATGTGTTGAGAGTTGTTCCCGAAAACGAGATGAATTTTATACTGCTGTGTTAACCATACTGAACAGAACTTTATTTAGCACAAAAGTAGGTAATAAATGTTAATCTGCGATTGCAGAATGAAAACTAGAAATACTCGTAAATATAGGTAAAGGTTCAAATGCCTACTCGGGTCACATTGTGTCCGCTACACCGAGAACCTCTAGGCTGTTCAAATCAAATCCTAAAGCATCTTGGTTTGAGTGTAGATCGTATCCTTCCCAAAGTGTTCCGTTCCGACCCCAACATTTTCGCGTTTGCGCCTTCTCCATGCGGCCAGCCACCCATGAAATCCCGATACCTGAATATAGACTGACCCGCATGGCATTGGTGGTCGGCGGAACAGCCTATATATCAGGCAGGCAGGCTGGCCGACTGGCTGGCCAGCCAATCGTGCTGCGGGCGCCGCGCCGATGAAAACTCGATCGGATAATGGTAAATATGTCAAAATTGGACACTTCAATATGATACTTATAACCCAACGCGGGATATCTACGCATGCTCGATAGGACAGCGGGAGCGGCGACCGCGGAGGACGGCGCACCGTCCACTGGTTTTGTTTTGACTGGCACTGGCGCGGGCCACGGCGCCCGACGCTGTCTCTTGGACGCCGGGGCAGCGCCAAGAATGTCGCGGATACGCCAGCAACTGTCACGGCAGTCGGCAGAAAACCCAGAGTTGGTGCGACCACAGCACTCTGAAGAAATGGGACCCGGCGCGAACTGCTCACTGCTGCCCAAATCGTCCAGAAGTAAAAACGCGAACGGCGCGAAACTGGATGAAAAACACACGTGACAGTCGGGTCAGTCGCCCATCCCTAAAAAAAGCTCAGCTGAATATGTTGGTGCTGGCTCCAGTCATCTACGATCTACGACCATTTAAATCCCATTAAAAACGGGTCTTCAGAATAACTGATGCAGTGGTCTGTCAGACCATGCTAAATGACATGCAAATGACATGCAGGTTGCCTTAGTTTCTAACCACAAATGAACACAAATATATCACACTCATGCTCCCAAGTCGTTGCTGTGAGACTCCGACCCGGCCCTCGTTTACACCCAAAGTCGGCACTTCAACCGAAATCGCATAAAGTTTACAGCAGTACAGATGCAATGCACTAGATTTTAAGCATCGAATGCGAAATCGTAGATATCCTTATATAGATCTGTAGCTATGGTGAAATACATAAATCTAAGCCTTTATTTTAGGTACCGTCTTCTAAGTAACAGTCTTCTTGTATAGGCCAGAAACTCGATACAGTATGTTACTGTATAACTGTAAATGTTGTGGGCATATTCAAGATTATGAGTTATCCCAGGGATATGAATAAAAGCGTTTATGTCAAACTCTCTGTCATATCTTCACATTGGCAGATCCAGGGCCTTTTGGGTTATATGGCTCCCTCGCAGCGTCCTAAATTGACGAAATTCGGTCATTTACCTGGCATAGAAAGAGGTATGAACAGGTTAAAGCTAGAACAAGTTTGTTACAATTTAACAGCAGCACACGGAAACGAATTCCTAGTTTTTAAAAGAGCAATTTTTCAAGAGTATGCCTCCACCCCGTCAAAACCACCTTTCTAGATGTGTAATAAGTGCCAGTGCATTTTCTGATAACATGACCAATAGGCTTATCAATTTAAAAGCGTTTGAGTGCTTAGTTCTTTTAAACACTCCTTTATGGAAATTGCTCCTTATGGAAATTCAACTTACACCAAATGAAAATCATACATTGGATATGGCTGAGGCCTATTGAACACTGGATGGCTGATTTTTACACCTACTGAAAAGGTAGGTATCTGATCCAGTCCAAACCCAACGTCGTGGTGAGCGGTGACTCATCAAACCGTCATTGAAGGGGATGGAAAGCTGTCCCGCCCGCAGTCACAGAAGTTAGATGAGAGTGGTAATTCCCCCCCCCCCCTACTGCCACAGATATTCGATGAAAATACTGTCCCGCTCATTCCAAGGGCTATAACAGACGTTACGTGGGAGTGATTGCCCATCCAGCCCGACTCGCCCGCTGAACTGGGAGATAGTGCCCCACCGCTGCCACAGATGGGAATGGGTGCCCGCCTCGCCCCGCCCACCCGCTGCCACTAGGTTTAGCTAGGAGAGGGTGCCCCACCCGCTGCCACAGACATTGGCTGGGAGCGGGTGACCCGCCGCGCCGCCCGCTGCCACAGGGTTAGCTGGGAGAGGGTGCCCCACCCGCTGCTACAGATGGGACTGGGTGCCCGCCTGCTCCCACAGACATTGGCTGGGAGCGGGTGACCCGCCGCGCCCCTCGCCAGCCTTGCCCTTGCCGCTGGCGATCAATGAGAGTCAGCTGGTGAGTCTGCGCAGCTCTGCCGAGCAGCACATACAGCTGGCTGTCCCAGCTCGCCGCCTGTCTGGCACGGCAGGGGCGGCGCCAGGCCATGGGCGACGGGGGGCCGATCTGAGCTCAGATGGTGAGTCACTGGCACCTCAGTGACTCATTTGAGTAATATTTTACTAAAAGTTAGCATGGTAGAGAGAATATAGACGAAGAGAATGTCATTGAAGCCGAATTAACAACTCGGATTTAAACGCTCCAACTAGTTCGACAAACCTTGGCACAAACCACCAAGCATTAGGCACAAAATGTTTGTATGTCACAAGAACAGCATGCCTCTCTTACGTCAATGCACTCGTGAATGACGATACGGGTGCCAAAATCAACACTCGCGGGGAAGGTATTCCTCCGATCAGGTCAAGGGGCACGAATCAGCGCGTGTTTGCTTTGGAAAGGTGAGATGGCTGCTGGTCCCGTGATACGGTCGATTTGAGGACCTTCGGCCGGGTGACGACAAATGTCGATGAAAAACGAGCCACCTGCTCAGCAGCCAATATAAACAAACTCCGAGCGTCACCAATCAGCGGCCGATCTGAGACCGAATCGGACCATGATTGATGCAGATATGAAAGTGGCCTTATCAGATGATAGCGCCCCATTCATCATTGATTTCTTCTTAGAAGAATCTTTTTAAATGAAAACGTTGCCAGCAGGTTTTTGTAGCCGCGGTTTTTGCTGAAAACATATCGGTCGGCTCGCTGGGGAAGCCAGCAGTAGCTCCAGCCCGATCAATGGGTGGCGCCAGTCCCGCGATCCGACAAACAGGGCCCGCAGACCGACAAACAGGCGACACACGCGGACCAAGCGCACGTCTGGTCCCCGTTCGCACCTCGACTCTGTCCTTTGGCATGGTGCAGACGGCTGGCTACCGCGCGACTCCACCGGCGGGATGGCACCGTTCTCCGGGCCTGGCGCAGTGCCCACACTCGCAGCCACACCTCCGACAGCGCGTCAGTCCCGACCCGACACCGACAGACACGCCATCTGAGCGAACCGGTCGGCCGACAGCCCTCACCGGCTGCCGACGCGAACAAATGACTGTTTCGTCAGCCACCGAGGACGAAAACAGCCATAGGGCTAGTGAAGAACGAACCGGACGATGCTAGACGCCAGGTGCCGTACTTGACCTGACTTGCAGCGGTAGGGAGGCATAGCTAGTAAAATAGCGCCTCAAACCGAAACATTTGTGCTGCAGAGAAGAGAGAGAGAGAGAGAGAGAGAGAGAGAGAGAGAGAGAGAGAGAGAGAGAGAGAGAGAGAGAGAGAGGGAGAGAGAGAGAGAGAGAGAGAGAGAGAGAGAGAGAGAGAGAGAGAGAGGAGAGAGATAGATAGATAGATAGAGAGAGAGAGAGAGACCCGAATAAGACATGGTGTTTCATTTCTGTTACACTTGATTTCCATGGTTGTCTAAGAGATAACAAACGCAACACATCCCTTCTCCAGTTCAATATTTGCATTGAACGAGTTATGATATCCCAAGCGCTTTACAGTTCACACCACTATCTAAAAGTAACCAATCAGCCACCTATTGGATTAGGGGGTCTGCAACCCTTAACATACTGTCTCTATCCCATGAGTATATCAATAAATGAAGCTGACGTGGCGTTCCCTCGTATGCCGCAGGAGCCTCCATGGGTCGGCGGAAGGCGGCGGACAGCGCCGATCACCTGTCCGACATGGTGCGCCGCAAGAACGCCGTCAACGAGGAGCTGACGCTGGCGGCCATGTCGGAGAACGTCTGGGCCTCCGTCGAGTCCGGCAAGGAGAGGCGCCGCCGACTGGCCTGCGAGCGCGAGTACGGAGTCGGTCGACCGGGAGCCCAGCCGGCGGCGGCTGCTGCTGCAGCGCCGCCTACACCAGGCCCAGCCCCGGCACCGGCACCGGTGGCAGCTAAGCCAGCCCTGCAGAAGAAGCAGGCGGCCCCGACAAAGACCACACCTCCGGCAGAGGTAAAGCCGGCAGAAAAGAAAGGAAAGGCTGCTAAAGAAGCTCCGAAGTCCAAAACGGACAAGTCCCCAAGTGAGAAACAAGAGCCTGCAGCAAGTGTCCAAAATTCTGCAGCCCCTGCAGAAAAGCAGGGACCGGAGACTGTTGCAGTTGCGACTGTTAAGCCCGTTGAGGAGGCCGTGAAGAAGGACAAGGAAGAAACACAGCAGACAAAGAAGCCAGTAGAAGTGTCCACGCCCCCGAACAAGCCTGTCGACACTGCCATTGCTAAGCAGAACGACGAACCAAAAGAGGCTGTCCAAGACAACAAGAAGTCACAGCGCGGCAAGAAGAAGGGCGGACGTACCAGTGAGAGCGACGATAAGCCAGCCGCCGAATCAGGAACTCCTACCAGCACACAGGAGGCGCCTCTCGCCAGCAATCTGTACCAGATGGTGTCCGACGAGCCCTCTCCCGCACCCAGCGCACCGCTCTCCACCCTTCCCACAGCACCCACTGCCGCACCGTCTGCACCCATTCCAACGACGCTTTCCTACGCTGAAAAGGCTAAGCATCCGCCGGCGAGCCCACCCCATGAGGAGCCTCCCCCTCCGCCGCCCCGCGAGGAGAGTCCCGAGCCCTTATACGACCCGGTGCCCCGGGCGCACACTCCACCACCGGCGCCGGCGCTGGCCCCGTGCTCCCCGGTCACCGAGGACTGGATGCCCGTGGAGACACGCAAGGAGAAGAGACGCCGTCGGCGCAGCGAGCGCGCCAGCGAGTCTGAGCGCAAGAGCGAGTCCGAGAGGAAGAGCGAGTCGGCCGCCGAGCCTGACGCGTTTGACCTGCTACTGTCCGGCGGAGAGGGACTACACGATGGACTTCAGGAGATCCTGGATGAGGAGGAAGTGCCGCCTCCTCCTCCGCCACAGCCGGCTGCTGCCCCTCAGACGACGGTTGACGCATTCGACCTGCTGCTGTCGGCTGCGGATGACTTGGGTGATGGATTTCAAGAAGCGTTCGGAGATGAAGAGGAAGAACCGCCACAGATAAGCAAGCCAGCTGTGAAGCATGCTGACAAGCAAAATAAGGGCAAGCAAAAGCAGGATGAGGTTAAAACTGAAAAAGAAACAAAGGCTGTTGCCCCGGTTCTTGACGCGTTTGACTTGATGCTGGGTGGTGACGAAGGGCTAAAAGAAGGCTTCGAACAAGCTCTTGAAGATGACGCTGAAGAGCCTGCAAAGGTTCCTGCCGCTGTTGAACCGAAAAGTCAACAAAAGTCCAAGGGAAAGTCCGCCAAAGGTAACAAGAGAGAACATAAAACATCCCAATCTGACAAAAAGTCAGCTCCAGTCGTTGATGTTAAACATGAAGAGAAGCCTCAAGCAAAGTCTGGTGAAGAGGAGTGCCCAGCTACGGTCCCGGAAGCTGATGTCAAAGAGCAACAGCCTCAGGATGTGAATAATGCACAACGCAAGAACAAAAAGCAACGGAGTAGACAAAACAGCGAAAAGACGAAAGGGCGCACGCCGAGGCAGAGTGAGAGTGAACCAGCTGCTCCAGTGGTTTCGCATTTTGAGGCGGCTGAAGACTTGTGGTTTGACAAGACCGCACATGATGCAGCAGAGACCAAGTTTTACGAGGACGCGGCGACCTCGTCAACGCCAGAAATGGTGCCAGAAAAGCTAACTCCCCAATCACCGCTTTCCGTGTCAGAGCCTGAGAAGACCTCGGAAAAGGGTAAAAAGCCCCGTAGCCGAAAGAACAGCGAAAAGACGAAACAGGGTCGAACACCACGAGAGAGTACCTGCAGTGAGAGCGATCCGCCTGCTCAGGCAACCGACACCGCCACCTGGTTCGACAAGGCTGTGTATGATGCGGCCGAGACAAGATTCTACGAGGGTATATGCGCGGGAGGTGGTCAAACAGAAAACCAGCAGGGGGTACTAAAAAAAACTTCGGTGACGCCAGCTCCCCAACCTCTTAGTCCCAGCAGCCCACAACGTATCGTAGAAGATGCCCGTAGCTCTTTGTCGCAAAGTAGCGTAGCAGTAGCCAGTTCCGCGACTTCGCCCAGCACCATCTCCCCACCGGCGACGACATCGGCCGTCACCAGTTCTTCTTCCTCACACCCACCTCCGCCGCACCAGGCCAGCCCAGTGAAGTCCTCTCCTTCCGTTGCCGCTCCCGAGCCGGATGCTCCTTCGCTCGATTTCTGTAGCCCTCCCATGTCTCTCAGCTCACAACCGGAACAGTACTTCGAGGACGTAGTGCTGGCCACCAGAAAAGGCTCGGCTACGATGGCTGAGCTTCCTGGCTTCACGGCAGCGCCACTAAGCGAGCGTCTCGCTCCCGGCGAACAGCTCGACAGTCTACGTACTGAGCCAGAGCTGGAGCCCGAGGAACCCAGCGAGTCACACAAGGCCGGGAAGAAACGCCAGAGACGCCGAAGGCGGAGAAGCGATCGCACTAGTGAGTCGGACAGGAAGAGCGAGTCAGAGCCTGCACCAGCCGTGCGGCCGGAGGCTGTGGCAGAGGCGGTTGGTCCAGGTTCGACGCCTGAGAAGGCAGAAGAAAACAAAGAAGTGCCTCCTGTAAAGACGACACCCATAAACGCTGCACAGAACGGAGCTGAATCCAAAAATCAGCAGAAGTCTAACAAGCCTAAACACCAAAGACGAAAAAAGACCAAGTCGACCAGCAGTAATGGAGACACGTCCGAAAACGGTGTTCAGCCAAATAAGGTGACGTCACCGTCCACAGTTGGCAGCAACCACGCTCAGGCGATAACAACGAACGCATCCATTCCAGAAACAACAGCAGCCACTTCTCCCGGTAAGCCGTCGGTAAAGGACAGCTCGTCTAGCTCGCCGGCAGGCTCAGAGAGCCAGCCTAGCTCTCCCGAGCACGTCATCACCAGCTCTCCGGAGCATGAGGGACCCCGGTTTGTGCCCGATGACACGGGCCGCCAGTATGCCTCCCTTCAGCAGCAAGACGCGGACACGATGCTGCCCGCGCGGCCCGTCTTTCTGGCACATGCCTGCTTCGTCTGTAAGCGTCTCCACGGCAAACAGTGCCGGCTGAAGTCATGCGGAAGCTGTCGGCTGGTGGCCTACTGCTCAGCCACGCACCAGCGCGCTCACTGGCCTCTCCACCGGGCCCTCTGCAAGGTCATCACCAAACAGATGAAGAAACTGGGCACGGACCATCTCTACCGCGAGGCGCTCAACGTCAGCAGTCACGAGAAGTGGAAACAGATCCGATTCAAGCACATGACCGTCTGTGAAGAGATGCTGGGCAGACCCATGGAGGCGTATGAAAAGGAGATGTTCCTGTACCCAAGAGCCTGCGAGACGTGTCACGAGACGACGCCAGAAAAGCTTCACACCTGCCACAGTTGTCACTCGGTCAGCTATTGCTGTGAGGAGCATCTGCGGAAGAATCACTCCAAGTTCTGCAAGGACCTGCGTCTCCTGGTTGACATCCACACGTACCAGAACCAATACGGCGTTTGCGACCCTCTCCTGCCGGACAAGATGCTCACGACGTACGAGCCGCTGTCCGGCAACATCCGCGAGTTCCTCGTGGTCAACATGCTCGGACCCGTCAAGGCGTACGGCATGGGCAACATCGAGCTGGCGGTGCTCTCGGAGCAGGCGTCGTACCCGCTGTCGCTGCTGTACGCCCTGCAGAACATCCCCGTCACGGAGGAGTCGCACATCAGCCAGCTGACCGAGCTCACCGTGCACGTGGTGGGCGCAGAGTTCAGCGCAGAGTGCGACAACGTCACCAAGTGGGACGTCTTCCTGCTGAACGTGCTGCCGCGCCTGCGACGGCTGCACGTCGTCTTCGTCGGCCCCGAGCTGGACATCGCCGGCAGCCGGCCGGGAGTCACCGAGGAAGACTTCACCTGCGAGTCCTGCCGCAAGGCCGGCAAGCGATTCACGTGCGAGTTCCAGCCGAGCACGTACTACCACACCTACTGCCGCAGTCCGCAGTTCCGGCCGCCACAGGCCATCTGCGCCTTCAACGCCGGCCTCTACCGCACCACGGGCCACGAGCGACGCGATACGTGGCGCGAGACCATCCCGTACCTGGTGCGTAACGGCGTGCCGCTCGTGCTCACCGCCTACACGCTACTCGAGTGTCCGCAGGACGTGGCACGCATTCAGGATGAGCAGAAGGTGGACGTCCTGCTGCCGCCCATGAAGAACCCCTTCCGCAGCACTCGGCCGGCGCAGAACTTCCTCAACGAGCATGAGAGCCCGCTCATCTACAAGAACCAGTACGTCGCGTGTCTGAGTGCCGCGCGGTCGCGCAAGTAGCCGGCGATCGGAGGGATGGGGGCCGCGCGGGAGGATGGGGCTGGGGAGATGTGACCTGGTGCGGCGGCTGGAGGACCCCGTAAGCTGTGAAATCCGTGTTCAGACAATTGTAGTCAATACACGGCTGGAGAATCACCACCGGACTATGCATCTGACGTGGTACAGTAATGCAGAACCGTCCATTTAATCAGAATACTGCGTGTAACAACAGTTGGACGTTTCCAGTTTATTTTCTGTCAGAATGAGTGATGGATATGGATGATATTTCACATGACATCGGTTATATACACACTACCAAGTGGAGAGCTCAAAATGACGGCCAGGAATGAGCAATGGACCGTCAGAGCCACGACTCCAAACCGTATCTTTTGTAATATCGGCAATCAACTTATCCGACGTTGCATTACATTTTGACACTCATCACACTGTCACTAACCATGCGTTCATTTACGCACAGTGAACATGCACGATAGTCTTTTCCATTACACGAGTTTCGCACAAATCCACGAAACGACCAGTTGAATTTCAACTATTTAACTCGACAGCTTGAACAGTCTCAAGTATAAATACACATAAAACCGAGATGAGAACCAATGCTTGACCACACGATTTCGGCATTGGTTTCTTCAGTTCCACAGCGATGTGGCGCGGCAGGACCTCTCCAATATCAGCCATACAGAGGGCGCCTCACTAGCCCACACCACACTCAGCGAATGGTGGTTCACATTGCACCACCAGTCGGCTTCCATTGAGTTACGGCGGTGCTCTTCGGACAGGGGGCGCCACTCGGCACTACGGAGGGCACCGCGGCGCCGCTCTCTTCACTGGGAGGCCCGGAAATAAACGCACGATAGCCATAGCTTTCAGAGTAGCCCGCCATCGTCACGGAGAGGAGACAAAGTCAGAGTCGACTCACCCGGCGCGGCAGGTCACGAGTCCACGTACAGCTTGCTGAAGTCCTCGTACGCTACGGCGGTGAGCTGGCGGCCCTTCAGCGGACCCTGGCGGCGGTCACACGGACACGGTGAGGTAGGGACCGGAGCGGCTTGTGACGGACGCACATCAATATACTTTGGATAAGCAGGGACACTTGATGTAGACATCAGCTGATTGTAAGATAAAGTGAGATAAAATGAGCTGATAAAAAAGTGAAAACCGGCTCAGATATATACGTAATACATATGTTTGCACAGTTTGATCACAGTTCAAATAAAGCCCAAAGTACTAACACAAGAAAATAAGACGTCATGGTCTTGATTGATCCCTGAAAAACATAAAAAAACTTATCCCAAGTCGTTTAGTTTATTTGAACCCTAGCCAAGATCCACCAGCTTACCTCTGCGATGGTGAGCGTAGCACAGAATTTGCTCTCTTTTATGGCGTCGAGTTTCGCCAAGCTGCCACGATAAGCGCCGTTCACAATCTTCACCTTCCGACCTGAAACGGGTAAACTTGAGACTTCAACTTAAATTGACATGGCAAGAGTACATAAAGGGTTCAAAAATATTTTGATAAATATAGCTTTTACAATAGACCCAGCCATTAACCACGATACAAGCTTCAGGCTCATTGGTAGGAAGCAGCGGCCACTTCTACTCAGTTAAATCAGCGGATGTGTAGACTCGAGCATTTACAAACAAGAAGACTGGCATGTTCATTAGGTGACATGCTCCAGCAGCACATCCAGCAACCGATGACAGTATCAGCGTCCAAATAATAAAACAAAAACACAGACGTGTAATCCCTTAGTCCTTGCGCACCAGCAAACCAATTAAGCCCAGTTTAAAGCCAATAATCATGCCACAAAAGTTTTCACCACAAGTCAGTTATACCAGTTCGAGCAGACCACGGGATCACAAAATCCCAATACAATCACACAAAATTCCCCGAGTCTTCCCAAACTGCACCGTGCAAGCCATAAGCTCCTAGTTAGACACGTCATCCACGCACGCCAGCTCATGGGAATAATCCCGAAGTTCCCCGCACTACCGGCACTCCCCCCCCCCCCACCGTCTCACGGTCGGAGGACGCTCAGGATGGTGAAAGGACCATACGAGACGAGACGAGGCGAGACGAGACGAAACAAGATACGAGCCGGGCCCGGCTCGACAAGAGCAGGGCGGGATGGGACGAAACGAAAGGGGACCGAACGGCATCAAACGAAGTGAGGCAAAGAGAACTAGACATGTCATACTAGAGACGGGAGAATGCGACAGACAGTATAATGGGACGGGACCGGGAGGAACGGCACGTTACAGGACGAACGCCATCCCGCGTGACTCACCGACTGCCGGCACCACCGTCTCCAGGTGCTGCTGGTCGAGCTTCAGCTTCTGTCCGCTATCGAGCAGTCGCACCAGCGCCCGGTACTTGTCGAGTACCTCCTGTATGTAGCCCTTCTGCTTGTAGAACTTGGAGCCCAGGTCCTTGGTGATCACCTTCACCACGATACCCTGACGAGCGAGCGCAGAGGGGAGAGGGGTTATCGCTCGATTCAGAGAGGTAAGTAACAAAAACTCGCTTTAATCTGTGGCTCATCGAAAGCAGCTCGTGTGCAAAAACATCATGAAACACTTTAACAGGAATATGGAGTGCAAGTGAATATGAGCGATGTGAATAGTGGCGCTATGAAAGAAACCATTCGACATTCCAACAACAAAAAATGTTGACTTTTGTTATCAAGTTTAACAGCATTAGGAACCTGTTTAACGACTTGGGCGAGAAAAAAAGAAACCTGTTAACTGTTCATCACTCTGCAATATCGTCGTTATGAACGTCCACGGGATTTCAAGCTTCGTGGTTAATATTCAACACCCACTTCTAGATAACGATTTTTAATACAACGCCTACCATGAACACAGCAGGGCCGTAACATTATGTATCATTAGCCTCAACAACGCCCAAAGGCACTAAGACACCCATGCAGGCCGGTAAATAACACTGACGAACCACTGATAACCGAACGTGAGTGTGCCGAGTGACCTTGACGCAGCTGCTCGCGGTTCGTGCTCGGCGATCCGGGGCTCATCACGCAATGTTCGCCGCATTCTGGAGGCCAGCCCATGCCTTATCGACAGCAGCAATCGCCGGGCTTTCCGCTGCGCTCGCGCCCTATCTCGGTCTGGATTCGTGCGCGCCGATTTGACATGCATGCATTATCTGGCACCGCAGTCGCCCCGACTGCGAGCCCGTGTCGAGGCGACCGCATAGATCGTGGGTGATCGGGAAGTCTACTGATCAATGATCATCACACCTCCCTAACGGCCAGCTGAACATTTAGTAATCAAGAGTAAATTCTAAGCCTGGTACATATGAGCACTGCAGCAGATGACCGTCACTACTCTGTACTCGCAACTTACCACTAAACTACTTATACTTGCAATTATATGTCACCTAGGTCATACCCGTCTACAAAACAATGTGTATTGTGTATGTTCTCACCTCAGTCAACCAGTAGTCCTTCCTGTTCATCTTCTCCTTCTTCTGCTCCTCCAGCAGCTTGATCTCATCCAGGGCGCTCAGTTTGCGCTTCCCGCTCTTGTCTGCCTCCTTTCCGCTACCGCTGCTGCTGGGCTTTGCCGTGTCCTTTGCCAACAGGTTCTTCACCGGTTTGGGCGGCTTGAAGTCCGGCTTCTTGGCGGCGAGGGAGAGCCCGAGTTTGATGGGTTCCTTACCGTCATCCCGTCGCAGCTCGGTGTACTCGACGGCGGGCGTGTCCCGGGCCTGCTCCTTGGCCTTTTCCACCTGCAGGCCAACAGGGTCCGTCGTCAGAATATCACAGCAAACTAACGCATGTGGAAGATTATAGTGAGCCCGGCAGTTCAATAAAGATGACGTAGAGTCGTATATCAATAAATGTCAACTGGGATATTGCAGATCGGCAGTCATGTGCCCATCTGCTCATCTATATTTTTGCAATGTTTTGTATTTTGTTTCAACCATTCATAAAAAGCCGATAAAATTGCACAATGCCCGTAAAAGCACGTCGAATATGCGATACCGCTGCATGCCCACATCGGTATAGAATAGCTGATCTCGTTCGAAGATCCTAATCAGACATTAAGCGGCAGGTGGGAGGCTCACCTGTCGCTCAATGAACTCCAGCATCCGCTCCTGATCGTCTTTGTCCATCTTCTCCTTCTTGGCCAGCGCCTCCTGGCGAGCCAGCGTCTCCGGGTCCCTGAGAACGGACACGGTCACACGTTGGTTGCCATGGGATAAGTTTCCACAAACAAAACACAAAGCTGTAGAGTGCAGACCAAGACAAACAAGATTACACATCACACGTGCGCAGTTACCAGTCAGTGTATTGTAAGGCAAACCCGTCAAAGATGAAACTGGATCAGAGCAAACGAGAATGATTTTCATTCATTATTGCGAAAATAGCATGTTTCTCATGTTGTTTTTCTCCGACAATGAGAGTATCAAACTCACCTGTCGATGTAGGTGACGAACCATCCCTTCTCGGTCTCGTCGACGGTGCACTTGCCCTCCCTGCCGAGGTACTTGACGAACTCAGTGAGCGTCTCCCACTGAGTGGCGTTCATGTGCAGGTGCTCCTTGAACGCGATGTACTCCTGGTACACATTGTTAGCGTTAACGCGCTTAGTGCCGAACTGGCGGCGAAGCAGCTCCAGGTAGCCTTCCTCAAACTCCCTGGAACGCAGGCGAGGTGTGTCTGTCATCATCGTAAAAAGCAACAGGCGCCACAAATATCTACATAAGGTCAATTAAAATGGCATACTGCTAAAAAAGTTTAATATAAATAAAACCTAGACAGAACATAGGCGTAATTTGAAAATTAGTACCATCTTGTATTGAGCATGATGTGGGCTTCTTATGCTTGGCCTGGTCACGCCCTAGTGCATTATATGCATCAAATATAATTCTAACATATGCAGCTGCAAAAGTATCTCCATGCCTAACAGCAACACTAAAAATACTGTATTTTAGTCAAATGGTGTGAAAATCATGGATCTAGCAATAATAGTTAATGCAAACCTCAATAGATTAATTTGACTTCCATAAACAAAAACAAGAACTTTTTATCAACAAATCTTAGTTAGCTCATAGCCAGCCTCATGCTGAAAATGAACACTTTTATGTTTGGCTCATAAGAGATACAAAAGCTTCTAGTAAAAAGCACTGAACAATAAAGCACAAAACAGCAGCTGCATTGTTTTACTATAAGGCAGCCATGCAAGGCTGTGTGTTTAAGGTCTTTTGAATCTCATCAAAGTTGGAATAAAAATTTGAAATATATGAATTCCTGGGAAATTACTATCACTTTTCTTTCAGACCTACAAAACCAAAGGTTACAACTCTTGGTGCTACTTTTCAGCACCAAGACCCAATGGTTAGTGTTGGTGACCATTCATTCACAGGCATGTTAGGTTACAAGATTTCTTAATGTGGTCTTGAATTTTGAAATGTTTAACATAATTACACAACTATGGGCTAGAATGTGACAACTATTCCAGTTTCCTATTCCAAATACATTCATTTTTATTATCAATATTTGATGTTTAGGGACAATTTTAATTATCAGGTGAGTTCCATACCAGTTGCCACCACAACCAGCAAACATAGCACAAAATGTTGCACTTTCATAGAATTGACAACATATCTGACTTTTTATTCATGGATAGCCTTGTTTAGATAGGGATAAATTATCTTGATGGCACTTATAACATTAATTAAAACATCCCCTAGTTGGCCCTTCAATATTTTGCAGCTTGTATGCTAGGTTCAGTATGTGCACAATAAAATAACATCAAATATATTAATTTGATATATTCATCTGTGGGAAGTTATGTCAGATACAACATAGGGGTGAACACAGCTTGCACTAGAAAAAGACAACAGGGTACCTACCTACTTTCATATCCCATGCAATTCCTCTGTGGTACTTCCTGGAGTAGCAGGTAACTGTCACATTGGCAAGAATACAGGTAGGTAGATACTTTCCGTGAAACTGTCCAACGGCCCCAATAAAAAGACAACAGGGTACCTACTTTCATATCCCATGCAATTCCTCTGTGGTACTTCCTGGAGTAGCAGGTAACTGTCACATTGGCAAGAATACAGGTAGGTAGTACTTACCGTGAAACTGTCCAACAGCCCCAAGTTTTATTATCGTTTCATTTGACCAGGTTTAAAACATGATATGTAGACGAAATTTGTGGGCTGAGGAGCAAGTGTTAACATTAAAGATTAGAGTACCTACTACCTACCTAGTTGACTTAGTCATTAGAAAACAAAATGCACATCCATAGCCACCATTTTCACTACCCCACTTCAAATATTGAAATTAGAAATACAACTCGAGATGTCCACCATCAACCGTGCCTCTTACGCAAGCACCACTTTTACTCACTTTGAAAAGCTGTCCAAATATTCATTTGCATTTTCAGCAAAGAGCAACAATTGTCGCTGATGAGTTTCTGAACTTGTGTGACACTTGAATCCATTTTCATCTCTGCATTGTTTTTGACACATTTGGCAGTACCATCTTAGTTTCTGCAGTCCCTTTGCTTTTGCTCTATTAGCAATCCACTTAGGTGTTCCTTTTTCTGCTTTGCCCATTTCAAAGAATAAAGCTTTTAACAATTATTTAATTTACCACACACAAAAAGCCACAAAAAGCTGCTATCTCACCACACTTCATTAAAAACCAAAACAAATTGAAATCAAGGCCCTATATACATTGAAATATTCGCTTGACAAACGTCGCGCAACTGATGAGAACTTCTGCGCCATATATGGAAAAGCTTATACTTTATTTTGCTGCAAGAAAACGTTTAATGCTGATTCTCGCTGCCAAGGGAAAACCAAGGCTGTTACGACCGTGACCGGGAAAGCCTACGTCGAGTACGTCAATATGTTTACTTGTATGAACATTGTGCATTAACCCTCGCATGTGTGTGGCGTTTGCCAGCTTCTAACGTGTTTTTTCACTACGTCGGTTGGACCCCCCTTGCCGTTTGCCCCTGATGGAGCTAGAGCTTCGCGGAAAAAAACGAGCGTGTTACCCGTCACGAGAAGAAGCCATTTCCGATGATACCCAATTTTAAGTTCCTAGGTCATTAGTTGACCTTCCAGGTCAGGTCAATGACCCAAAAGTCGGGAAAATCGGGACCTGTTTGAAAGTCGTAAACTGTAAAGTGTGGCTGCTATAAGGTTTTTCGGGGTGCTGATCACGAATATCGTGTTAGTTTTGATCACAGGTGATGTCTTTAAGCATTTAGACCAGGTCGGGTCAGGTCAGATCAGGTCAACCAGTAGGGATCGTGACGGGTAGGTATTCGTAGTAGGTGTCAACTGTCAACCGCCTCTGACAGCTTCGTAACATGTTACGAAGGCACCAAAACTTCTTCGTAAATGTTCAAATGTTTTTTTTTAATTCGAATTCAGCTCCAAAAACTAGCCTAGAAACACGTAAAACTCGAAAAAGTGAACCGAGGTCACCAAAGGCCAATGACCTGACCTGACCTTCAGGTGACCTTGACATCCACCCTAATGCATGGGAGCAACATCGAATCACATGTAACTATGAGCGTTTGAAACCACGAAAAGCTAGCAAACGCGCGGCTAATGCCGAATGCGAGCCGACATCACTTATCATGTCTGTCTGACTGTATGTGTGTGAACTCGATAAACGGCGTACACATGTTGCTTCAAAGATTTGGGAAAACCTCAAGAACGGTAGTTGTTAATAGGGGAGAGCGGGGCCAGTTGAACCACTTTTTATATATTGACATGCACGGCGAGATCTAGTTGTCATATCGAAAAATGCACAATGCCATGAAAAAATATGCTCTTTTGGCTTTATTTCAAGATATGTAAAATTATGTTTCAAACATATTTTGCTGCCAAACGCATGCTTATAAAACAGCTCTACGCCTGTTTCAAATGACCCCGATGCGAGGGTCAATTGATCCAGCCCATGGGGTCAGTTGCACCTATCCTTAACAATGGGATGTTTTCCTCTTTACGGCCACTTTCTTAAGGAGATATTTTGTCCGGTTTACTTTTCCAAATGCTACATTCAATAGGTCGTTGGAAAGCTAAAAGTGCAAAGTTCCTCATAATAGGTGACATAAAGTACATACATAGACTATGGTAAAATGGGCGGATGAGAAAAATGAGAAATATCTCAGGCTATAGTGTGCTTTCAAGCAAAAGGCTGGAGAAAAAGGGGTCAAAAATTGAGCTCTATTAGACTACTATTTCAGCTTAAAAGCTCATTTCAAAGGTGGACTATTTCCTTTAATGTTTACAGCCCCTGAACAATAACCATTGCAAAGGTCACCGGGGTCCATTGAAACGGCCTGTGGCCCTGTTTCAACTGACCCTCAGAGAAGCGTTTCAATTGACCCCATCCGCTCCCGCCATCTCGCACGCGCCGTAAAGCACATGTCAAACGAGCTGGAGCGACGGCATCATGCTGAATGAAGGGCCAAATAAGGTGTTATTCCGGAGCCAGGAGTTCTTCTTTCAGCAAACAAAGGTATATGAGATATCACAAAATATTCATAATAACGATTTCTCCCAAACGCCCCTCAAAAACACAAAAACAAGTGTCAAATCAAAATTACCGTCCGTTTGCCGCCCAAACGCCGTTGACAAATGAAGTGGTCGAGCGCGGATGTGCAGTGGTGTCGGCAACGCCATATGTTGCATACTGTTGAAAATAAAGCCATGTTTCATCTGACCCCGTGTTTCAATTGGGCCCGCTCTCCCCTACATAGTTGCACAAATTCCTAAATGTTTTAGAAAACCCATATTTTTAGCCATTTTCACGACTGCTATCTGGTACACATTTGGTGCGCATTAAGTGCAGATTTGGTCAAATTAGGTTCAAAAAGTTTCATAAAAGTTATCAGTTTAGGTTGCGCAGATGCTTTTATACCTCATTTGTCAATTTATTTGACATTATTTTCGAGTAAAATACTGAAATAAATTCATGACATAAATAACAGTGGAATCCGCTTAATCAATCCACCATGGTGACAAGGTGTTTTGGATTTATTAAGCGGTGGCTTTATTAACCGGAGTTAGTTATTTTCGTTAACAAATCATGTATCGCAGCTGCACGTAATTCCGTTCCCCGGCCTGCATATACAAGGGTATGAGCTAACAATCCTCATTGCCTTACTTATTCCAATGAAAGTGACCAGGGGCTCCGCCACCGGTGGGGTCGCGGGGGTCCGGACCCCCAATAATTTGGCTTTCGTAATGCACTCTAATGTATAAAGGCGTGCGTTTTAGGGTTGAACACTCCCCCAAACCTACGACCGTAGTGGAGCCCCTGAAAGTGACCAGCGTACACTGCTTAAAGCTGTCGCAGCGATTAAGACAACATATTCATCCACAATTACTCTTTGTCATGCCCGCTATGCCAACGTAACAGTCGAGCGTGCTTTGCCGGGACATTTATTTGAGATCATGGTGATTGAGCTCGTGATAGACCTGAACTCCTTCGAACAGCTGCTGCAGACCGCTACTGCAGTGCGATTCTTTGGAAGCGGGCAGGATGTCATTAAGCGGAGTCCGTGGATTTATTAAGCGGATTTGTTAACTATGAAGTATCTATGCAGAAAATCCGTGAACAGCTCAAGCGGCTTCAATAAGCGGCTGGATTTATTATCCGAGGATTTGCTAAGCGGATTCTACTGTATTAATTTTAAACAGGTTTGGTGCAGATTTGGTCAAATTAGGTAATAGGTGCATCCGCCAAACGTCTTGAAAACGACTATTATTGACTCCATGTCTCTGTATGCCGAACATAAGCCATAGACCTATCTTTATCAGTCAACTTTTCTTTACCTATCTTTTTTAGTCAACTTTCTTTACCTATCCTCTCGCAAAAAAAAAACTGCACAGGTAAGGGAGGTTTCGCGGAGAGCTCCCCATTGACAATGTGAATTTGGAAGACGATAATCCAAAATCGTAATCAAATGCTCGATGCATGTCTTCATTAATTTATATAGGAAATCCACAACCGTTGTTCCCTTACACCAGTATAGCGCCTTTTGGGGCGACTAACGGAGCGAGCGAGGGGGTGAGTCTTGCACGTGCGAAATTTCGAGGGGGTACCTCCAACTGACTTGTGCACGGCACCCTACTAACCGGTCTCTAGCGATGTGCCAAATTTGAGCACAATCGGCCCAGCCATTCTCGAGATCTGGAAGCGGCACCCTGCACGTGCGCACGTGCAAAATGGGTCCCGACTGGCTTTTGCACGGCACCCTACTAACCGGTCCCTAACTGTGTACCAAATTTGAGCGCAATCGGTCCAGCCGTTCTCGAGATCTGGAAACGACCCCTGCACGTGCGCACGTGCAGCAGCACCCCAACTCTGGCACATGGATATGCAGTGCCTAGTGGGTGCCTACCTACTTGCCAACTTTCAGCGCAATCGGCCAAGTAGTTACCGAAATATTGCAACAATTGCAAAACTGACACCTCTTCGTTTTGCACGTGGCACGTGCATAAGGGGTCACTCACATGCATCGGGAATAGTCCAATACTTGGTAGAAGGAATGAAGCTACCCTATAAAAATTACCGCGTGTAAATCGGTCAAGTGGTTGCTGAGATATAAGCCTCGCAAAAGCGTCCGCACGGCCGGCCGGCCGGCCGGCCGGCCGCTCATACTCAGAAATTTCCGTTATTCTACGTAAGACTCCGCTCGCTTCGCTCGCTCCGTAATTATGCCCTGAGAATAGGCGCGCCAAGATCAATCTTCAACCCTAGCATATTTTTATTTGTGTTTATTAATCGTCATTGTTGATTTCGTCAGCACATCTCAATGAATGCTAAAAGCTTGGCCACTGCCTGGCAGTGGTCACAGCTAAGGTAAATACTAACTGTCGTCTGCCTAGCTAGATATTCCAAATGTGGCGTAGTCGTTCAACATGTCTTGAGCAACGAGCTATCAGCTATAAATGATGATGAGAGACAGCAAGTGCGCGACTCAAAACACTCAAAACATAGGCCAAGCAAGCTAAACGAGTGGATATCTTTGATAAGAGCCAACAACGACTTCTTTGGTAAATTCCGGTTTGGTATCCTGCTACTACTAGCACCTCATTGGCTGGAAATGACGTCACTATTGCGTTGCCTATTTGTCGTTACGCAGTTAAAATGTTTTGCAGTGATGTTGTAATAGATAACTACATGCCAACCTGTTGAGGTGATACACCTATGCCTCTATTTATAGGCAAAGAGAAGCAGCAGTGAATAAGACAATAGATTCCAAGCAAATTGAAAACAGTATTATCCAAGAACTGCAAACAATGAAGTGCTTAGATATGCCTGGTGAAGTTGCTGGACGAGTGTACTATGCTATAACACTATTTCAACTAAAGCATGCTTCAAAGGCCTTTGCAATATCTTTGTAATCATTCGCAATTCCTGCAGAGGGTGGGCAATGAATATATATGGATTTTGGAGGCCAGCGACACAACACACATGAGGATTAGTTTGTCATCTTCGCTCGAACACGACTGCACATGAGAAGCCATAAGCCGTACCATGACGGTGGCCTATAACGGCCACCAGTACCACGCCAGCCAGCAGCTAACATCCAAACGATTCTACACCTCCGCTTTACGGTAGATGTAGTATTGTTCCATTCATTATGCACTGTTCCTTCTATACGGGTGCTGTCTATAGATGGCCTTGGGTGCTGCTTCATCCTGAATTTACCATGACCGTTGCTGCATTGTAACTAAGAGAATAGGTAGGTAATG